TAGCGAAGCGACCCGTAGACATCTGTAAATGCAGATGCGTTGCCTTTGAACGACGGAAGGGACGCATAGAAGGATACTTCCCCTTCCTATGCCTCTTTTCTCCGTCGAATCAACTTTCCCTTCCCTCTTGCATTTATATCGTTAAAATCTATGCTTTAGATTGAAACAATATAGAGTACTTTTTTACAGAACGGAAAATACAGTGTTTTACAAATGCTACCTAAATAATATTTTTATTAAATGAATTATTGTAGAAATTATAAAAAACAGTATAATTTTGAAATAGCAGAGTGGTACAAATTTTATATTAATTTATTAGCAGTATGCTCGCTTCTTCTAGACCTCAGAGTTGCACTTGAGAGACCAACCTGCTGCACTTGAGTCTGCACCATCCTGGAGTCGGAGGAGATGGGTCCGAGGGCGGCCATCATGCGGTCTTTAGCGCTCAGCCACTGCGACAGGTTGTTGTAGGTGTCGTGGAAGTCCTTCATCTCCTCCATTAGACGGATCCTGAAGAAGAATGAGATTTTTCTTAGTAAAAAGCAATAAATAAGCAACTGACTGACTTCGCTAAAATGATCACTGCATAAGTCTGCCAAAAGTTGAAATGTTGTCGATGCTTTAAATGGTCCAAAAAAGAGGTAAGTGGATATTACCCTTCTATATGTCTTTTCCTCTACAGAGTTCTTTTACCCTTGCCATGAAAAGACAAATGTAGGAAGGGGGATAATTAAATTTTGAACTTCGACACACATTCTTTGATACTTTTGTATTTATTTCTAGTGTTTGAATTTCGACCATAAATCCTAATCTTAAAAACGATTTTTCCATACACAAATTATTAACATCTATTCGTGTAATTTTCTTAATGTTTACAAAATGTTAGCTACAGTAATTAATAAGACGTGTGTTACTTTTATTTATAAGTAAACTAGCATTCACCCGCGACTCCGTCCGCGTGGAATTAAATAGAACAAAAGTGGGTAGCCTATGTGTTCTTCCAGACTATCCTCTACACCCGTACTAAATTTCATCGAAATCCGTTCAACAGTTTAGGTACAAATTTTAACAAACATCTATCTAAACTTTCGCATTTATAATATTAGTATGATTGGTAATATGTTACTTGTCCTTGAAGGCGTCGTGTAGGGACTTCCAGCGCGAGGCGGTGTCCTGCAGCTCGTCGTGCAGCCTGTCTGCGCCCGCCGCGCTCTGCTTGCGCTTCAGCAGCGACAGGATCTGAACACACAGACATACATAAAATATATTGTTAGGAACAAAATTAGTACCGTGCTGTAGAATTAGCGCAACTCTATATTATCGGCATAAACGTCACGTCAATGGATATGATACGAAATGAGTATTAGAGGAAGTTCGAGAGTAGCACTAGTGGTAGAGAAGGTAAGGAGTAAAAGATTAGCATGGGGGCATATTGTGAGGAGGGATGAATTGCATGTTACAAGGAAATTTTTACAAGGAAAAAAGGTTATGAGTGTGGAGATATACCGGTAGAGGTAGACCTAGAAAGAGATGGATATATTGCGTGAAAGGAGACATGATCAAGAAGGGAGTGATGACAGAGATGATGTATGATAGAGATAGTTACGTAGATTTCGACCTTATTAACGATGTTATTTACCTGTGTTTTAGTAGAGTCCAATAGACTCTGTTTTTCATACATTTCCTCGAGGACAGCTCTCGCCTGCTTGATGGTCTTGTCCGCCTCATCCTTACTGTTGGGTACCGACTCCTTCGGTAATTGTCTTTGTACCTAGAAAAACAAATATTTATTTATTTTCTTACTAGCTTTCACCCGACACTCCGTGGAATAAAAAAAAAACAAGAGTAAGTAGTCTATGTGTTCTTCCAGACTGCCCTCTACATTTATACCAAATTTCATCGTAATCCGTTCAGCCGTTTAGGCTACAAACTGTAACAAACATCCATCCATCCATCTATCTAAACTTTTACATTTATAATATTAAAATATGAAAAGGATTCCAATTGTGGCAAGAGTCTAAGTATTTTTTTTTCAGACTATATTCTACATAGATGTTGTAATAAATATCCATACATCCATCCATCCAAAATTTCGTATTTATAATATTAATATAAAGTATGATTGTAGAAACAAATTGACATAACTTTTTGAGAATTAAATCAACTCAGAAAAAATATATATTTGGTCGACGATTTTATTTGCAAAAATAAAATGAAGTTTTGAAAGGCTAACCTTATCAAGGAAGTTGTTAAGAGCTCGGAAGTTATCCAAATGCTTCCTTATTTCGTCTCTGATAGAGTCTATTTCAGCTTGGCGGTCCGACAGCTTGCTGCCGATCAGGCCGTAGCGGTTGTTGATGTCCGACAGCTGCTGCTGTACTGGAGAAAGTTCTGAAAACAACATAAATAAATTGAAAATCAGTACTAACGCTATTATTATTAACAACTAGCTGTTCCTATGCACCTGCATAAAATTATAAAAAATTCATTTTATTATTCATATTTTGTCAAATTATCAATTGCAAATGTCAAAACGACATGACATGTTGTCAAACCATGACAACCTTGCTTCCTTGATGTTGGCAACAACTTATGGTCTCTTTCCCACATTAGGGTTTTTATCCAAAATATTTACCCATAAGTTTAACGGCGTGAAAATATATAACCTAAAGCGTGACGTCAGTGTAGGGCTTTTTAATAAAAAAAGAATTATTCGAAAATATTGTTTTTTGTGATTGCTTACATCTTAGGCAACACAGAAGTGTGTGTTTACGCTTTATTATATTAGTATAAAGTATAGTTAATGCGGTTTTTCGATATTAATCGACATTTTTATTTATAACTATACAAAACTAGTTGTTGCTCACGATTACGTCTGCGTGGAATTTAAAAAAAAAATAGGCTTTATTACTCAGTGATAACATAGCTTTTTAATGGTGTAGGAATTATTGATATTGGTCCAATAGTTTTTGTGTTATTCAAATACTTAAATACCCAAAATTACAAACTTTTTCTTTTTATAATATTATTTTAGATGAGAGATAGTATACCTTCTAGATGGAAGCCATCTTGACTTGAGCGTCTACTGGAGAAGCCGCTGGAGGCGGAGCCGGGGCTCACCATGTGACCTTTGCTGGGAGATGGAGATCTTGCGTCCAGGGAACGAGCTGCAAGAACATTACATATTTAAAACCGTCATACATAGACAAATAAATAAAATAACATAAAATAGAAACAAATCAATAAAAAAAAACACAGGTGAAGAATCGGTATGAAATGTCAAATCATTCATCAAAATCGATTCAGTCGTTTACGAAAAGAGAAGTCTATTCAGTCGAGCAATAAAGAATGCAACAAGGGAGAATTAATTTAAAACCAGATTAAAGAAAACATGGGTATCACCAGGGGGATAGAGGGGACAGTCCCCCCAAGAGACCATAAAAATGTAAAAACTACCACGAATAAGACCATACAAATTGTAGTTGCCCCCCCCCCACTAGACCAAGACTAAATTAACTATTACTAATATTATAAAAGGTGTAACAATGTATACTTACTAGGTGTTTGTCGTTTAGTAGGGCTGTATATCTGGCGGCGGCGGTGCGGGCTGTCGGCGCGCTCGCCGCGGGACAAGTTCTCGTACAACGCACCCGCCTCGTTCACCTAACACATAACAAATAATATTTAACAATATAAAAAAATCAACTGTACCAAGTTTCGAAGCAGAATGACTTAGATAGAGCGAAGTGGAGATTGACCAAGTAAGCTGACCCCACTACCATATGGGATACAGGTGAGGGAGAGGGAGAGAGAGAGAGAGAGAGAGAGAGAGAGAGAGAGAGAGAGAGAGAGAGAGAGATTATAAACAATATAACATTCCTACTTTATTTGGGTATTAAATTAAAGGTCTCGACTAGCACAGTACAGTTTAGTTAGTTTAGTTACAAGGGGGTGGACAAGTGGCATTTAGTATACGTTAAAATAAAGATAGTTGCAACGACCAAATCGCAAATTAGGTCATTTTAAAATTAAACAATAGTCTAATAGTTAATTTAGTTTTTATCTTCACCGATTTTCAGGTATTTTTAATAATTTAGAAATTTTTTTAGTCAATCACACAGATAAAAGTCCTGCAAAAACTAACTGTAATACTCACTTTGTCAATATTAATAGAGAAATCTCTATACTCCTTGGTCAAAGGTCGCAACTCCTCGTGCTGCACCTTCACGAGCTCGAGGTCCACGGCCACCGGCTGCAGCCGCGACACGCGCTCCTCCATCACGTGCAGCCACTCTACCACCTGCAAGAAAATAATCAAGTCAGAAAATAAAACAGATTAAAATCATATAGAGGAAGCATACTAGACACTTCATTTGAGACATTTAATATAACCTCAAAACATGTCAATATTAATTGTATATATATAAATTACCAATAGGTGTCCCTATATATTTAAATTTTATTTTGTGACACTGTTCACTTTACTTTACAACATAGATTGATAACTTCAAAGTGTAATTGTCAATTTCTACTGTCAATACACAATGTTATTTCAGTATTTTTAAAGGAAAAGAATTGGCAATCATTTTCTTCAGTTAAAGCAGTGAAAGCCCACGTTACAACTTAATTGTTACTTAAACAGTTTAACAATGCATATATAACATATTTTTTGTTTGAAATTCGTTAATTTTACTATTGGAATTGGTCCTTCGAGCCGGATGCCTTACAACAAATACATTAAATGTAACTCGATACAAATTTCATATTTATTTATTTAAAACAGTAACATTATCTTTGAAGTTGAAATAGCAATATGTTTAATACTTTATGTGTGATTTTGTTACCTGTATTCTCAAGGTCTCGTATTGATTCAGGTGATCAGCTCTCTGCTTAGACAATTTCTGTTTCTCTTCCAAATTGGTATTGAAGTCTCGCCACTGGTTCTCTAGACCCTAAAAGAACAAATGTAAGATTGAGAATATTTTTACAACTATTGCTAGAAGTTATTAAAAATGAAGTTACGACGGATGGATGGATTTGTTAGCGTTTGTAGCCTAAACGACTGAACGTATCTCCATGAAATTTGGCACAGGTTTAGAGCATAATCTGGAAGAACACATAGGCTACTTTTTATCCCGATAATAGTTATGGTTCCCGTGGGATTCATTAATTTAGTTTTTTAATGTTTACTTGATCATTCTGCAACGGTTCAACATATCTTATTGAAATTTGGCACAGATATAAAACAAAGTCTGGTGTACACATGGGATAAAGTTCATCCCCGAGAAATGTCCGGTTCCCGAGGGATACGTAGCTTTTTGTTATTTATACAGTTCGTATGTTTTCTAATACCACGCGGACGATGTCGCGGGCAACAGCTAGTAAGTATATATTTCTTATTATTTACCTTAATCCTGTCACGTACAACATGCGTGTCGGTGACATCTTTCTTTGCCAGCAGTTGTTTCCCGTTACGTAGACATTCCTCCAATAATGGCATTTGTTTGTCCCTAAAAAACAAAATAATTTAGAACAAATTCAATAAGAGAAAACACGTAAAAAACAGCCCTAGGTAATTTACAAAAGAAACAAGATTGTATAAAGCTGTAGTCATTTTTTTGATATGTTGGCTTCATCTGGACAAATTCGCTGAAAAAGCGAAGAGAAGAAGCTACTTTTTGGCGTAAGATGTCAGCAATCACAGCCACAGCATATTTTTGAATAATAATTTCTTTAATAAAAAGCCCTACATTTACGACATGCTTTAGGCTACATATTTTCACGCTATTAAACTTAGGGGGTAAACATATTAGAAAAAAACCTTCACGTAAGGGACCATAAACTACAAGCTGCCAACATTACGGAGGCAAGGTTTATTGGTAATGGTAATTTTGACATTTGCTTCGAGAATTTGACAAAATGTAAGCAAAAAAATAAAGTTTTTAATATTTCCATGCGGACGAAGCCGCACGGTAACAGCTAGTCAATATTTTACATACCTAGCAGCGATCAGTTCGTGTATCCGTGTGTCTCCCATGTCCAGCAGCTGCGCGTGCGCCGCCTCCAGCTTAGCTGCTTGCTGCGCGAAGCGAGACAACTCTGAACTCACTTCCTCTAGGAATTGACCACGCTTGCTGGACCTCTCTACTAACTTCTCGTATCTGGAAATACACATATATTGGTAAAATAACTTCTGGAAAATTCTTAACAGACCTTTAGTATTTCAGAATATAATAAATGAAAAAAGAAGGAAAATTTATCGTTTGAAATTATAAAAAAGCTATGACACTTAAATATAACACTAATATTATACAGATTTGTATTCTTGTGTATTCCCAAAAAACTCAAAAAATGACGCGTTACACTCACAGTGATATCTTATTAATCTTACTAATATTATAAATGCAAAAGTTTGGATGGATGGATGGATGGATGTTTGTTAAAATTTGTAGCCAGCTGAACTGATCTCGATGAAATTCGTCATAGAGAGGATAGTCTGAAAGAACACAAAAACTACTCACCGTTGTTTTTACTACGCGGACAAAGTCGCGGGCGAAAGCTAGTTACAGTTATTGGAAAACTAAGTAGGTAGAAACATTTATACCTGGCATAAATATCTTCAGCCCTTTGTTCGAGTTTCTTAGCGATCCTGGCGTTGGAGGGCGCTCGTGCGGCGTCGCGCGCGCCCGCCAGCAGCTGCGCGAGCGTGGCGCGCCGAGCCTCCGCCTCGTTGTGCGCGAGGCGTTGCTCGCGAACTTGCTCGTCGAGCCGCTCGCGGATTAACGACGCGGCCTTCTGTTGACTCCTGGAATAATTGCATTATAAGGAACTAGCTGTTCCCATACGGCTTCGTCCGCATGAATTTGTGATAATTTTATTTTATTGTTTACATTTGTCAAATTATCAATAGTAAATGTCAAAACGACATGACATGACAAACCTTGGCAATCTTGCTTCCTTGAAGTTGGCAGCAACTTAAGGTCTCTTTCCCACATTAGGGTCTTTATCCAAAATATTTTCCCCCTAAGTTTAATGGCGTGAAAATATATAGCCTAAAGCGTGACGTAAGTGTATTCGTAAGGCAACAAAGAATTGTGTGTTCACGCTTTATTATAATAGTATAAATAATAGACATTTTTAGTGTGGCATCATTTTCGACATTAGTTAAAGGCCATCTTTGAAAGTCGGGCATTCGCTCACTGGCTGGTAGCATCAAGTCGTGTCAAAATGTTCGATACATTTTAAGGTTGTAATGGTAATTAGTGGTTGGTTGGTAAAATTACTTTAAAACAGATAGATTTTGTGTCCAATCAAATAATAAAGCTGTTCGCCATCTTGTAATTCTTTTATTAATTAAAATTCGTTGTTAGTTGCTAAAATATTATTTAACGCAAATATTATCCACTTGTCCTTGTCCCTACAAGGGCACAATATGCGCTGCTCCATACATATCTATCTCTGAATCCACTCCCTTCTTAAGCATATCCGCTTTCATAGAATCTATATATACTTTCTTTGCAAACATACGACATACTTTACGAGTACAAATTTTAGATGGCAAAAGTTGTCACATGAATATAGTTATGCCTGGTTCGCACTTAGTCAGTATAGTAGCGTTTAAAAACTGCCATAATATAAACATAAACTGGCGCGAGGTAAATATAATCTATACGTGGCCTGTACTGTCCAACTGTACTGGTTAAGTGTGAACTTGGCAATAGAGAAAAAAATAAGTTCATTCCAGTCATCATTTTAAATAGAGTATTCGATAAACGAAAAATATGCTTATTTAAAATCTATTTCTTTCATTTAATTGTATAAAGAATGAATTAGCATTTGTCAATAAAGATATTGTAAATTTTGCTATTAACAATACTGACTTGAAAGCATTCTCAGCCTGTGCGAGCCAGTTGGCCTGCGCCTCCGCAGCATCCTGCAGACCCTGGCAGTGCAGCAGCGCGGCCTCC